GACTGATACTAAGGAAACTTGTTTGTTTGTAATTAAGCACAAAGCTACACAATGGGCTATCTATGCTCTGCCCCCCCCCCACCGGTATCGAAATCCGGATTCTAGCGTTGTAAGTTTGCAGACATACCGCTGTGCCACTGTGGGGGCACTAAGGAAACTATCTACAGTCAAGCATTGACACAACCATTGTGCACTACCCAAGAGATAGTTAACTTTAAGTGAATGTTAGTGAGAAAAGTTACTAAACAATTTGGTGAGTACTAGGTTAGTTGCTGGAAAATTACAGGAATTGGCTGAAATGTAAGGAAATGAAAAGGAAAACACATGCAGTATAATCATTGTGTCAAGGAAAAAAAGACAATGTTCATTGTGAAAAGTATTAGTTTCCAGTAAAAAAATCATGTTTAGTGGTTAAAGTTTACATGGATACAGAGGAAAAGAAGAAACTCTAGCAGAGATTCTACTCTAAAAACGGAACATTGAACTGGTCATCAATCCTACTAGAGCCACGGAGAAGATTAGTTTTGTAGTTGAAGACACGCACTTCTCACCAAGTGTAGAACATATTAGGTTCTTCACTATTACTACTCTGGGTACGGAAAAATAAAAGCTGTCGAATAACTCTGGTCATTTGTAAATATTAGCACATCACACGTGCACAAGTGAGCATAGTGGAAGAGACTTCATAAACTATAAATATGAAGATTGCTGTGCTTTATTTATATGCTTTAATGAGGTAGAATTAGAATCTTCCCCTCGTTAATGGATAAAGGTTGTGCAGGATAATACCAACATTACTGACAGAAGTGCAGGATTATCTGAATGTAGTGACAACTGGATTACATAATGAATTCTTCTTAAGTAATAAGTAAGGAGTTTGTGATTTGCTTGTTTGTATGATGTCCTTCACCATTTTATGAATCACCTTTTATTAATTGTGTATTATTAGGAAATTCAAGACTTTCATAACTGTTTATTGCTGGATTAACTCAAATCTCATTTTTCCAGTAGGTTTTGTGTTTGATCCCATTAATAGGCTATTTGGCGAGAAATGAGATTAGTGCCATCTGGGGTTGTAACTGCATTTAACTTTTATTTACCTTTATCATGTGTAAAAGAATCACCGAAATTTCAGAACGGGATGCAGATTAGACTATCTAGTGTTAGTTTTGTTTATTTTCCTTACTTACTTTAATTGATTTAGAAAGAACAATAAAAAATGAACTTGTTTCGCTCATCTTATCTAGTACTTATATGTATTTTATGTAATATAAGTTAGTTGTTCTGTAATTGTGACAGGATAGATAGATAGATGTGTTTTACCCTCATGTTTTCACAAGTGAGGTTGAATTTTCCGGAACATGAGGAAGTGAACTTAATTGTGTTTACGCAGTGATAAACCAAGTTGGTTGCTCAGAAAGAATTATGGTTTGGAAAAATAGGTCGAAGTGTACGGTATTTCCTCAGATGGAGTTAGAATCTGGTGCTTCTGCACACAACTGTCTTATTAAACTTGAGTAGTGACTGACTTCCATTAAAGGCTTTTCTTTGATGAGTCAGATTTGTAGGAAACCTTGGTAGGTGAACTAGACCGAACTATGGTTAGTGATGCTTTCAAAATGATTTTCTGTCTGGTGAGTCATTTTTTTTAATACAGGGGTGCTTGAGTCTGGTAGTTTGTAAATCGAAAGACGTCTTTAACTCTGAAGAAACGAAAAGTTTTGTTCTTTAGACCAATAAGTGGACCACAGTAAGTTTAGTCCAAAACACTTTTATTTTGATATATCAAGTCTTTTTATTACTTCGATTGATTGTGTTATGCATAACTCCAAAAGTATTATACCATGATAAATCTGGATTTTAGATTGCAGCTGTATTTGGTGTTAAATTCAAAATGTATTTTTACTCTGAAAACAAAACTATAGGTGCCGTGATACATGTTAGTTTTAAAATTAATTTATTTTGACGAAATGAAACTTTGATTCTCGTAAATGATTAGATAAAGCTGTGACGAGAGTCAGTTGAGAAGTATTCATAATCTGAATAACCAAATTTTGAGTGATAGTTGATGTGAAAACTGAACGTGTATTTGCTTTGCCAAAACCTTGGGAAGAGTGGATAAATGTATAGAGTTGTCGGAATTTTTAGTGTGAATTATTTTTTGTCGGTTAATCCCAAACTTTGAGAACTTCGAATGATTGTATCAAGCCATGATAACTGTAATAGTCTATGCGTATACGGACGGACATATTGGACAATCTAGATAAAACAATGATTCCGATTGCTGTAAAGTCCGGAAGGCATTTTTCGTGAATAAAATCGAAAATAGATAACCAAAATAAATAAACGTTGAAAATATTTTAAAGTATCTTTCATACTTGAAAACTCGAATTGTGAGTATCTGAACCAGAGGACGCAGCAGTTGTAATATGAGTCTAAATCTGAATTATTGTTGTTATTAATCAAAGGACTGGGTTCCGGTAAATGGAGAAAAAAGATGAAATTCGCTACAATGTTGTACGTGCTTATTATGTATTGTATATTTTTATGTTTGAACATTTGGCTCCTTACTAGTGTATCGTATATTTTTATTCACAAATATAAATGTTTTTAACTTACCTCAAGCTAGCACACTACGAAAAACAAAAACAGATATTCAGAACAATTCCATTATCGGGAAACATATATATAGATATCTATATGTGTTTGTGTGTGTGTGAGTTTACAATAAGAAATTATCGTGGCTCGCCTGTAGTAGTTTTATTTCAATTGTATTAACAAAGCTGAATTGTGTATTTATAAAAACTGTTGATTTGTTTATTTATTTCAGTTACTCTTGTTGTTGGTTTTTTTTCAGTTATTTTTGTGTTAGAGTGATATAATACGATAAACAACAGTCTTTTATTTATGATTGAAACTCTATTGTTCCACAGCCACATAGTCCCTGTAAAATTTTCTTTTCTGTTTGACTTAACGTTTTTGCAGGAAAAACATGAAAGTCATAATAGTTTGGAAGAACTCTCAAATAATCATAGCTTTTTAGACAAAAGTTTTTTAATTAAAACCTTAGTAAAAGGTTTGAATAGTAAAATTCAGTTTAAGTTTGAATGGGTTGTATGTTGATTTGAAATCTAAATATCTCAATGACTGATGGTAATGGCAACAGAAACCTTGTAATAAAATTCTGAGTGATAGAAGTACTGTATTTAAAGCCACTACTTTAACTTAAGAGAGTCTTTATTTGGGTTCCTTTTGAAAACTTGTATGCTCTTTAAACAAGTAAATCCTAAATGTAGTTCCTTGTGACTAAAATGAAGTCTACCAGATGCTGTAACAGGACCATAAAAAACTAAGCACGTGTGCATGCAACTCAATAATAAACATCGTAAACCCTGAAAAATATGCTTTATGTTTTGTTAGTCGAGTTACTGAAATAAAAGAGATATCATAGGTGCTCGAAAAAAAACAGTAAGAATCATTCGATAAACCAACTTTTTAGTTTAGATAACGCCTAACTCTCACAAAAAAGCTTTCTACTAACTCTGAACTCTAATGATTCTCGCATCTAAGTTCTAAAAACACTCTTCGACTACCCCTAACCTCCCATATATTTTAGCCTTAGACATAATTTATTCTAGCTCTCGCTTCATAGCTCAAAATACATTCTTATATTAACTCCTATGGTTTATCTCTGAAGATAATATTGCACAACCATATCTTTCCAGGTAATAACCCCCTTTAGCTTCCTAGGCACGACCTTTACTGTAGCTTAGAAACTGTGTATCAAGTCACACATTTTGATTGTATTTTGTTTTTAATGTAAACTTTTTCATTTGATTTCTCTGCGGACTTACAACGCTAGAAACTGGGTTTTGATACCAGTGGTGAGCAAAGCACAAATAGCCCATTGTGTAGCTATGTGCTTAACTTCAAACAAACCAAACCAAACTATTGGAATTCAGAAAATAATTTCTAATAAATTACAAAGTTCGATAAGAATTATAGACGTGGGCATGAAATTAAAAAGTTTTCTAATTAATTGACACAAATTTCTTGTATAAGGACGCATGTTGAAAACGTCTTGATCTGTGTGTCACGTGTTCTTCATGAGAAATTAGAGGGTTTTAAGATATCACGAGAATTAACTTTCAAGGCGTGTTGGCGCTAGTCCTGAATTTTCAGACAAAGTAACTTCCGTCAACGAGAAAAACACACTCTCAAAGTGAAGTGTGATAAAAAACACATTCCATTTTTACGTCTCTTTCGTGTATGTTCTCTACAACTTCTAATCTCATAAAACACACGCGCATAACATAGACTTATATATAACGAAATAAAAAATTGATGTTAAAATTCAAGGACCTAAAACACCGCACTTAAAACGCGAGGAGCTGAGAAATTTCCTTTTGAACTAAAGCAGCCATTTTAGCTGAACCAACTACGCAGGAAATTCAGTTTTTACTTAAGGTACTGAATGATATTACTTATACGATAAACAGAGTGAAAATTGTTATTTATTTTGCAATGACTCGCAATCTGTTCAAGATATTTGCAATAGAGTGTGATTTTTAATTTCAGATGTTTTTCAACTTCAATGTGTCAACTCGGTAAATAATAGATTCAAAAAGAAAAGCGGTGATCTGGGTTTTTTTAGATAAGAAAGAAAGAGTCAATGATTTTTTTTGATTTTTTTTGAGACAGACTGTTCTCAAATTTCATAAGATTAAGTCCATCACTATATTACAGGTAAATTATAAAATAAATAAAAATGACTAAATTATTGTTCACTTATTTAGGGATTTTAGAAAAAGCTAGCCTCTAACATAAAGATACGATATGTAAACGGAAATGATGCTCTTTTACTCATTAGAGCCCCACTTTTACTTGTATTACTTTAACCGAGGCCATTCTACAGATAAGTGTAGTCTTTTGTTGTTTTCCACAGATATTTTACATACGAAACATCCAAATACGTAAAGAAATCAATATATATAACTTACTGTGTTGTTCGACGTTCATCAGGAGCATGCCCTCTGAAGCTGTTAGGGACTCTTGTATCCAACCTAACTGCTTCTGCTGGCGGCTGAGCTGTATCATCAGCCAGTCTTTCGGTGGCGGGTCAAGCGCAGTGGTCGGTGACGGTAAATCTTGAGAACCAAAAGAGGTATTCTCGCCAAAATCGAATATTATGCAAATTTTAGGGTCAGTGATTTTCATCATACTCAGAGCTTGAGAAGGAAGACTGAGGCTACTCTCCTGCAATTTAAATAAAGTGTTCAAATGATAATGTTTGTGGAAGTTTCAGAGAAGTCGATTTGGTGAAAATTGTTTAGGAAACACCTTACGAAGACTCGAACTTACAAAGCCAAGTGTAAAAAATTTGATAAAAAGAAAAATTCAAATTTGAAAGCAATACAGAATAAAAATTAATTAGAATAAACATTTATAGAAAAAGAGACAGGAAAATGTATTGAGGGCAAGAATATTAATAAAATAAATCATATAAAGAAGAGGAAAAAGCGTGAGACTATACAGGAATTTATGTAAAAATATAAACATTGATATATCTTGAAGATTGGACAAAGAGGTAAACTAAAATGTGAAAGAGACAACAACTACCAAATCAGGTATAAGTAGAAAAAGACAGATAAAAATTAATTACAGATATTGAAAGAAAGATGAGAGAGAAGATGTAAATGATGAAATATATATATAGAAAGAATAACAAGCAAATGGCGAGAAGGAAGTCGATTTTAAGAAAAAATTGGAAAATAAAATGTGAAAGTATTTTAGAGAGATGAAAAGAAACAATAATAAAATAGAAAGTTTTAGAGAAAATACAAGCAGAGTACGGGCGACAAATAAAAAATCAAGCATTTCAACAAGCATTTCGCGGTAAAAGTTGGATAAAAACAACAACAACGAGAAACCATAAAAGCAGAACATGCTGATGAAAGAAAGTAAAATTGAAGTTTGATATAAAAAAAAACGACCCCAAATAATGATCAAGGTAAAATAAGACTAGACCTACAACAAATGGAGACACAATCTAGATTTTTATCCAAGCAAGACTAAGAGTTCTTAAATAGAATATTTTATCTTTGTTATTTTATATTTGCAAAAATTACGAAAAGTCACTTACATGGTGAAACGGCATGAAACGGCTCATAAGGTGAGTGGGAATAATAAAACAGTCTCGAACTTCCTGAACTGTCGAACCTTCCTGACGCTCATCGACAGCTGCTGTTGAAGGAGAATGACGTGGCGGCCTTACATCACCTTTACGTTTCTGTACATATTGTCCCGGTAATTGTTGCTGCGTTCTTTTAATATCATGGTCTAACGTTGTTTCAGAAAATCTAGAACTAAGATAACTTGAAGGCTTAAAAATATCCCCAGCTTTTAATTCGAAACTATCTTTTGATCTTCGCCATAGTTTTCGTCTGTTCTTATCCCTAGCCGTGAGTTCTGGGGATAGCATTGTTGGACTTTGGCAGAAAATATCAAAATCGTCGTAGTCTGGACGAGAGTGTTCTCTGCCCATCATGGAACTCTGAGTGTCTGGAATTCGACTTCTTGCTGAAAATTCTCTCTCACCAGAGTAGTAATTCCTCTGGAGATGGTTAGATCGACCACCTGGATGTTGAGAATTGTTTTCTTTGTTTCGTGACTTACCGTTGTTGCTTATAGGTGGCGCTTCTTGGACAAAGCCGGAAAAGCCCGAACCCGTTCCGGTTTTGCGTTGTGATCCGGTCCTGTCCATATGGAAATAAACATGAGTACTAAGATGCTTTGTAAAAGAGGCCATTAGCGTTAATTTAAAACACTTTCTTACCTCTAATTTGTTCTGTACTGGCACACTATGAGAATCCATCAATAAAGTCGGTGTCGCGGTAAATGGCATGGGCAATATGCTTCCAACCTTGTGAGACAGCTGAAGACTCTCATACTTACAGTTTTATCATGTAAAATGTAAGGAGGTAAATCTTTCCCAAATACCATTCAAATTCGTGTAGGACGTATAACTAATATCTGTGTAGCATACAAATTCGTGAAGAAAACAACATCACAACAGTTTTAAATCAACGCTAAATATGCAAGTGGTTTAACGATTATACCGAGCTCAGTTCCTAACTAGAATTATAGTATATTGTTGTTGTTTTTACTGAGAAAGAATCGCGTCTTCTCGTCATCATAAGATGACTTATGTCTTAAAACATAGAGAACACAAGCAAACAAACTACTGTTGTTGAGACATGAAGGTGGTAATAATGCGTAACTCATGGTCGTCGGAAGACAACGAACTCGCGTGTCTGGTACGTTGCGTTGCGAATTCGAAGAACAGAAAGAGTTAATCGTCCATAATGAAGTATAAGGAAGCTAATTTTTAAAATGTCTGTAGTTGTAAAGGCACATGACTTTTTTGGTTCAACATGGTTTCATGGGAATTTAAAAATATATATATATATATATAGTTACTTAGCTGCCCTCACGAAAACAAACAAAACATTTGAACAAATACGAAATAATCAATGCACTGTTAAAGCAACAGGCAGTTGCTAAACACTACTGTATCAGCCGTTACCACGAACACTCGTCAGCCCCACGAGCCAATTCACTGCCTGGACATGCAATCTATACTACTGAACTTACCGTAGCGCCATCAAACGACGACTGAACCAAACCCAAAACACACTATCCATCTGAAACAGTACATACGTATATGCTTTTGCAACCAATGATCAATACTTCTAGAAGGTGGACGTGGTGATTATTAAACGCGGCTGTAGACCTATGAGGCAACAAGTAAATCTTGAAGGTATGTGGCGCTTAAACCCTTCTCCTATTGCTTGAGTCTTGTTTCTCTTTAACGTCTGTACTTTTTATGTTAACTTACTTTGCTCGTTTTTTTTTGTTTGTTTGTTTTTGTGGAATAACAAAAACTGCTAAGTGCTTAAGTTATTGCAATTACTTAATGATATTTACTAATCACTTCTTATGGACCTGCAGTTTTACCACTTGATCAGAAATTTGTTTGAAAAATAAAGTACATTATGCCATCATGTCAAATATGTAATACAAAATTTCTAACAACTAACACTATATATTAAACCCCATAAAGAAAAGAAATAAAGTTGTAACTGTAGGATAATTAGAAAATAGATTATTTTTGTCATGTAAAACCTGTAATACAGTTTACTCTGGAAGTAAATCACATAGTAACAACGAGAAACGTAAAAAAGAAGCGATTTTTTAAAGATAAATTTTGGCACATATGTTTTACTATTAACTATCTACAGAAAGAGAATGTTAAGACTTTAAAGGTTGAAACCATTTACAACAGGTTGTGTTTTTATAAAATATTTTGACCCCCAAACACACCAAACCAAATTACACCTTTCTCTTATGCTGTTGCTATAAGGTTCAGCAACGGCATTATTACAGACATATTTAAGCTTATGGTATCCCATCGACATTAGATAGAGTCATTGGCAATGATAATATCAGTATTGACCATGTTTTTTATTTTAGTTTTTTCGGGCCAAATGCTTTTTATTCCATTTATTTCTTAGGATTTATTTCTTGTATTTTATATATATGCTTAGCTAGCTTTTTTAAATAATAACTTCCTTTCACGGATGTTTTCAAGATACCTCTGGTGTTTTGCGCCGTAAAACTTCAAACAACTAAGCTTACAAAATGTTTTAAAATAGACTTAATGACTCGCTCCCCAGTAGCTTAGTGTTAAGTTTGAAGGGTTATAACGCTAAAAAAAAGAGGGTTTCGATACCCGTGGTGGACACAGCACAGATAACTCCTATGTAGCTTTGCACTTAACATCAAACAAATAAACTTAATGAATGCAGTATGAAATGTAAATTAACTAAGATAATTTTATTAACTTATATATTAATCATTATTATACTAAAGCAAACTTGCTTATGTTTTTACGGTGTCATTGTACATTTTCGTATTTTTTTGTACAGTGTTAAAATCGAAAGAGAATACTGTTAAGCCTTCAAAGACTTATTATGAGGAGGCAGTAAAATCAGGACACATTTGTTATTAAAGAATTAAGAAAGCGAGTAAAAGTAAGATAACTTGGAAAATAAAGCGAACTTATATGTATGTGCCATTTTATTCACAGGAATCATATTCTTGGTTTCAATATACCCTGATTAGCTTGAAAGCACATGTTAAGTTTATTTGATTCATTCATTGACAAGCAAAATAAATGAACTATTTTGCTTGTTAGTACTTTAACTTATTGTGCACCTTGAAATATTAAATAATAATAACTTCATTTCTATCTGTTCATCAATTATTCGATCTCTTCAAGGATAATACCAAAACAATTTTACGTTGCAATGTCCGTGTTGGTTACAACTAAAAAGTGTTCATTAATTTGAAAATCAGGCATGTTGGTTGATTCGATTAATATCGGTGTTGGTATGTGAAAGAAGTGGGAGAAGCGAAAATTATTCCTCATTGTTGAGGCCACCGTGTGTAAAAACCTAAACATTGCATGTTCCCTGAGTCCAAAAAAGGCTTTTATAGTTAACTACTTATGTTAATTAGTTATGAATATGAAACTTGGTAGTGGGAGTGCAGATTCTTAAGATAATTTACTTGAGGTTTCCATTAGGATGCGCCAAAGGATTGGATTTTCATATTTAAAATTTGATATACAGGTACAGTAACATGTACTCAAATATCTAAGTAATGAAAACTTTCTTTCAGTCCGAGACTCCATAAATTACTTAAAATAACCAAAAGTAATCATAAACATGGTTCACACATACAACTAAAAAGCCTAATGAATTTTAATAAGTATAATTATTTAGAAAAATGAATATGTATATAAATTACATAAAGATAAATTGATATAACAAAAATTCTGGAGTAGGAAGGCAAACAACGATAAAACTTTGATAAGCGAGTTCAGCTATGGCCTCTATATCTATCTGTTGACCAACAGCAAACACAGGAAAACTCTAAAAAGCAAGTTATACTACAGACTATACGTATGTAGTTACTAGAACAAAACAACAACAATACTTCGACAATAAAGACTCACCTACTGACTATATATCCATCGGGTGACCAGGGTCGAACAAAGAGGGAATACTTAAGAGAGAATTCCACTATGGCACTACAAGGTGACCAGGGTCAAAAAGCAGTAAGTGCTGAATAACAAGTTTCACTATGAAGTAAATACCTATTTCATAATTGATATTAAACACAACTAGAAAATCTTTAATAAGTGTGTCCAGTTTAGAAGCCAGCTCCCTTATGATTTCTTTGCTCAACTGATGACTAAGAAAAAATGAGGATACTTTGAACAAAGAGTCTATATACTTTCGAGTTGCTTTTTGTTGCCTGATTATAATTTTGTATGATTACTTAGGAATGAAATGCTCTATTTCTTTGAATTATATGATACGAATTGTATTGTATCATTTCGAGATCAAATGGTTTCAAGCTGTGACTGCTAACAGAGGAAACTCATACGATAAAAGGTAAGAAGGTTTTTCAGAATAAATTTAGTTTTTCATTTCTATGCGTTGGACATGAATAAATTGCAGCAGATAAATGATTATGTCAATGAGTAAATATTTCGGCCACCTGTTGGCGGAATCAAATGTAACCATGACAAGGCAAGTAAATATTTTGTTTTCTAAGAAAAAGGACAACTGATTTTGAATAACTTAGTTTCAACAAGTTCTTAACCAACGATAATTTCTCAGTCATTGACTATTTCCCACCAAATACACCTTGATATCACATTATAATTCCAAGCCCCATGTTGCTCACCGCGTAAAGTCTGCATTGAGAGGTTTGCATGGACAATCCTTCCTATTGATCTCCATCTTTTTTTCCTCTTAAGAATGCCTTTGAAAGACAACTCTTCCACAAAACTGATGTTCTTAAAGAATCAGTATGCATTCAGAATTATTAAGCGTCACATGCATCTCACTAGACCGAAATGATAACGTTCAGAAAATGATAGAAGAAATTCATAGCAATTAATGATACTTGTCATAAGAAATTATTATTAAGCCCATTACAGTCATTAACAATGTATTCTTTATCTAATCCCTTAGGAATTTTCAAGAATTAGAAGACTGTATAAGAACAGTATTCAAACCACAGTGTGTTCGCTATATCCATTGCCGACTTCGCATTTCGCTCAATACAAAGCTCATCAGGTCTACTGGCACACAACAAACACAATAGTGGTCGGAAGACTAGTTATGTAAGCCATTTGCTACAACAACAATTGTTATGGTTTTAATGGTGTTAACGCCTTTTTCTAAAGGACACGATAAATAATGCATTGTTAAAATATGATAAGCCTAATGCTAATGTCTTATGACAAGTATAATAAATTATAGTTATGCTTTGCCAGCTTGGAAAAGGCGTCCACACCATAAGAAATGCATAGTTGTTAGCCGGAACTTTGAGTTGAGTGCTCACATCTCCAACACCATTTGTTGTAATCTAATGTAGTGGCTAGCCAATATGAAATAAAATCCGTTTCATTCTGTAACGCTCCTTGTATATTAATTCTTCAATAGAGCTTTTAAAATATAGTGACAGAATATTCCCAAACCTTGAGACAAAGTATTTCCAAAACTAATAAGAGTAAAACTTATTTAACTGGGTAATTTATTTAGCTAACCTTTCAAATTTGCTATGTAGATTCGTAGGATATTTCCAGCTATCTTTATACATAAAAGCGAAATTGTATGTTTGTCTGTTCGCTAACTCCTCGCACACTATTTGACCTATCTCATGACTCATACGGTCCCCAGAAGTAGCATGGAGGAGTCAAAATTCCCAGTGGGGGTTGGACACCCAGCTAATTCCGGAAAACTACCAAATCAGCACAACTTGACACAGTGATACAGGATGACATGAGGAAGTTCATGAGGGAGGTTAGACTCCCCCATCTAATCTATATAAGTAAACGACAATATGTGTGCGTATGTATCTGTTCATTATATGTTTCCACATTTCTTGATCAATCAGCACCAAACTTGACACAGTAATACAGGATGACATGAAGGGGTGGTGGTGGTACCCCATCTAATTTCATATCTAATTCTGGAAAA